ATGTAGGACCCGGTCAAGTTCAAAGCCTGGAAAACCCCGAGTATCAGGACTACCGTGCTGAAGCGCAGCTGCACCGGGACCAATATAACGAGTGCATACGCAAGTCCAAAGAGGCGTACTCGCGCCGCCAAGGTGCACTAGCACAGCACTATTCCCAGCAGGTACGTTGTTTACGAGAGTTCCTGCATACTGCGTACGGGCATGTTAGTAAGATCACACAGTCACCAACTCCCCACCCCCACCTCCATGATCCTTTACAGCTTTTTTCTTCTTTTTAATAACAGTTATTATGAGAGGGACTGTGGGTATTTGCAGGCTTGATGATACATGTACCTGAGATTGGCTTTTCAGGCACAACTAGTCCTAGCTCAGATCTTGTCACCATGACAAGGAGGAGATGATCCGGGTGGGTGGGTGGGTGGGTGATTGTGTTCATGCATCCGTGTGTATGTGTGTACGTGTACTTGTATATGTGCATCCATGCATGCGTGCGTGTGTGTATGCGTGTGTGTGTATGCGTGTGTGTGTGTATGCGTTTGTATCATCAGCCTTGTTACTACATACTTCTAGCCGTGTGTTGATTCCGTGCCGTATCACTGCTTACTTATTCCCGCAGAGTCGTGGCCACTATGCTAGGTACCAAGAGGCCAATCAGCGAGCTGCACAGATGATTTTCCACTCAAAGTATGTTGTCAGTTCATGATTGTACTCGCTCTGCTTTGCATGCTTGCATACGCTGACTGTAAATCATGTGATGTTTGGTGGAACTTTAAATTCAGTGATTACGGGAAAATGCATAATCTTCCTAAGCTAAAGTTTGTGAAAGTTGGAAGCGTTTTCCAATTCTCTAATGTAGTTCATGAATAAACGTCGTCTATATGCATTCTAGACTGGCATGACCATAAAAGATAGTAACACATAAGCTGCCACAACACAAAGCAGCCCATGGGGCGAAGCGTTAAACTGGATCCAAGTAAAGAAAGAAACCTGACGAAGAATAGAATACCAACCAGCTCTGCACTGTACAGAAACACTGGAAGATTAAGCAGAGCCCTGGCCGTCTGGGCATTGAGCAAAAACGCTAGAAAAAACATGTATCAGCTGCAAGCAGAGCAAGTGCCACACAGTCGATATCATCTACTGTCGTGGACTTTGAAATCCAATGGGATGACCGGGGCCGGCGCTCTTACTGCTTTTAGCGTGTACATGCACTGTAGTTGACGTACACACTGTAAAAATGGACCAGCAGTGCCCGCTGCTGCAAGGCCAGTGCCCCTGATTTCTCAACGGATTTCAATGTCCACAGCAGTAATTAGGCAAAGTTGCCTGTTTGTTCGTCGACTTCAAATAGACCAACAACAACAACAACCACAACTACGACAACAAGAACAACAACACCAACAACAGCAGCAGCAGCAGCAGCAGCAGCAACAACACCAATAGCAGCAGCAGCAGCAACACAGGCTGAGCTAAAAGCAAGGCTAATCACATTAGGGCAGAGACAGAAACAGCGCAGTGGCTGGTACGGCTGGTAGGAACACAACCTCAAAGACGTTCTTCTGGAACTCATCCAGGACATCAGACGTACGATGGGCAGCATACACATCCAAAATCACCAGGCCATGCTGAGACTCTTGGAGACCTTATTCGTAGGAGGAGGAGCGGCAGCTGGCGCATCAGGTTTGGGCCATGTTGGTTGTACGTAACAAGAAAATAATTTACCACTGCCACGAATTGTGTAGCACCTCTGCCGCCAATGATACAGGTGGGTTCGAATCTTACAAAGTTAACTTAACCACCGCTGCCACCGATGTAATACAGGTGGGTTCGAATCTTACAAAGTTAACTTAACCACCACTGCTGCCACCAGTTTTGTTCCGCTGGATTACTGCATCGGCATGGCTTCAAAATTGTGGAAATGAAGCGTTTGACGGTGTCCACTGTAGGCCAATGGGACTCGGAATGCCAGATGTCCCAACCATCAGAATATGTTCGAGCGTTTAAATAATGGTCTTGCAACGCGCAGCCTTGTATCACGCACTCTTAAGTTGCCCATGCTCAGAACTGCCTTTGCCCGTCATGGCGCTTCCTTCCAATGTGCTAAGCTGTGGAATGATTTGCACCCTCTAGCTCGCTGTGTGGATAACTCCACCCGTTTTAAGAAACTATTACCCCAATGCCTTGCTTTTTCACGCTAGTAATTATGACTTTCAGCTATGCAAAATGCGAACATGATCATCTATCCCATACCCGTAGTCTATTATATTAATTATTCATATCTTTTTGTATCTTTCCCTCGAGTGGGTCTATTGTTATTAGGCAATTGTCTGTTATAGTCACCACTATCAATAAAAATCCAATCCAAATCCAATCCAAAATCTTACAGGGGCTTGAGGGTGACATCGACTTGTTGTATCTTGGTAGATGAGCTGAGGGGCAGCAAAGTACCAGTGGGTGTACATGCAGTGGCAGCAGTTATTTGCCGTTTATCGTCAACACCTAGCAAAGGCACGTCCTTTGACCCTTTTCCTGCCATTGTCCATTGCGAGCTCGGCACCATCGGCGGTCCTGTCTCATCGAAGTTTACAATCGAACCCACTGGAATCTGGTGTGTTAGAACAGTGGCCTTTACCCGCACTTCGGAGAGATAGGCTTTCCCCGCTGTAGAGCACTGATTTCCTCTGGGAAGGCTGACTGCTGGCACTGACGTATGATGACATACTCGGCGCTGCGGATCTTGTCTACGGACAGGGGGCCTGACACTCGCTCAGTGTTCAGGCGTCTTGCGTTGCTGGAGAAGCGATTGATCCAGGCAATGACCCGGGCCAGCTTGAGGAGGCTGCTGTAGCGCTCTGGATCCAATGCGGGTAAGGCGGCGATCGCCAGATAACTGAAATGAGCTATCTCAACTGCAGGCTTCTTCACTTCAGCTCTGCCGCCGCTGTTGCTGACAATGCCTTTCCTGGGGACGGTGTGTTTAACCCGGACATGTCTGGACCACACCACCAGAACTGGGAATCTGCGAGCTGACTTGCAGACATACCACGCGTCAATAGGTCGGCTGGGTTGCGGCTAGTAGCTACATGCTTCCACTGGTCGGGATCACTCGCTGTCTGAATCGTGCCGACTCTGTGGGCAACGAACGGCTTGTACTTTCGGCTCTGTCCACGAATCCAGTAGAGGACATCAGCACTGTCAGACCAGAACGTGACAGTACTCATCGTGAGATCAAGCGGAGGTAGAAGAGACTTCACTAGCTGCAAACCCAGAACTGCGGCCATCAATTCCAACCTAGGAATACTGTGGACAGCAAGCGGGGCGACTTTCATCTTCGACGCGACGAGATGCATTGAGTCGCTGCCATCGCTGAACTGCTGCCAGATGTAGACGACTGCGCCGAACGCCTTTTCGGAGGCATCCACAAACACTTCCACGCTGCTAGTTGCTGTTGTCGCTGCTGATTGTCGCAGGCACCTCGGAATTTGAACTCTTTTCAAATCCGGTAGCTCGGCGCACCACACTTCAGCTGCACTGACGAGATCATCTGGCAAGTATGCATCCCAATCGAAGCCTTCGATCCACATGGATTGGAACAGGACTTTGGCTCGGACGATGTACGGGGCTAGAAAGCCGAGCGGATCAAATATGGTTGCCAGAATACGCAGAAACTGCCGCTTCGTCAGACGTGTGAAATCTGGCACCTTGTACTGAAATGTAAACATGTCGATCTCGGCCTGCCAGAGGACGCCGAGCGTCTTGATGTTCGGCAGCTGTTCGTCCGTGAGCTCCAGTTGACTTGCCCGATCAGCTTGTGGGATCTCAGCCAGAACCTCCGCCGAGTTAGAGAGTCACTTCCGGGCGTGCATGTTCGCTTGGCCCCAGAGATCCGACAAATCCGCGTATAAGGACTTGGCTGCTGCAACATCCGGTGCTGACGTCATGCTATCATCCATGTATGTGGAGTCCAGCACGACACTAGCGGCTTGCGGCATCTCTGAGCTGAGCGATCTGGCATGCTGCTGCGACACGTACTGCGCTAGGAATGGCGAAGCATTGACTCCGAACACCACGCTGCAGAATTCGTACACTTCTGGTGGCTTACTTGGGTCTGTGCGCCACAGAAATCGATGGTAGCGCCGGTCGTCTGGATTTAGGCTGATACGGAGGTACATCTGGGCAATATCGCAGACCAGTGCTATCGGCTCACGACGGAACCTAACCAGTACATTCACCAGGTCTTGCTGTAATTTGGGGCCGGGCAAGATGAAGTCGTTCAATGACTTGCCGTTCGACTTCGCTGCGGCGTCGAACACGATGCGTACTTTTGTTGTGGTCTTGTCCGGCTTGACTATCGGGAAGTGGGGCAAGTACCACGCGTTGACGTCTGCGGCGTCAACCCGGCGCACATAGCCCTGGCTGATGTATTCCGCTATCGTAGCGGCGTAGACTTCTCCAACTGCTGCGTCTCGCCTCAGCCGCTACTCGGTGTTGGCCAAACGCTTCAGAGCAGTGTGGTAGCTAGCATTAGCTCCGGGCGGGTGATCCTTCCATGGAATGCCATCACTGTATTGGCTTCCAATGTGCTTTATCGAAAAGAACTATTCCTCTCCTCTCCTCCATGCGCTCCCACAGCTACCGAGTAATGGCTACCGAGGGTAGCAGTGAGTCGGCTGTGAGAGCGCATGGAGGAGAGGAGAGGAATAGTTCTTTACTAGTACATGTACTTGAGTAATCAACAAGGAAACAATATAGCGCGGTTCATACTTCATTTCGCGTACGCACGGGAAACACTTGGCAATGCGCACGGCGACGGTTGCGCAATAGGCCAGAATATGTTGCACTCAAGTCAACTCTCTCGCCTTGACGGGTATTGCGCGCGACACCTTTCCTGTACGCAAAATAAAGTTTGAAACCGGGCTTTACGTAAAATAGCCGTGAATAAATCAATTGTGCAGTCGTAAAAGAAAAGGGGGTACTTCGAAGTATTGAAAAATAAGAACAACGATCAAGCTGTCATAGTGTGTCCTTGTGATAATCATCAGTAGAAGTTTGGTTTATGAGCTAGATGATATCACCAGAATAATTCAGAACCCTAAACCTGTCTGAAGTACAGTATCATCTTCGTTTCTAGCAAATGAGAAGTATTATGAGCAGCAGTGTGAAGCAAAGTGATGCTCGACGACAGTGAGAAAATCAGATTAGAAGACCTTGCCAAGTACTCGTAGTACTTTAAAAGTAATTCTGCATCTATGCTATTGAAATGCACTAAGGGCAAGAGTACTAGTAGTGTGTGCAATTCTAATCCTATAGAAAAGAAAAAGGACCAAGGAACTACAAGTTACGCTATAATGTCCCCTTACACCACCAGTTACTAAACAATCAGCTCATGCGATAACATTATAGTGGACATTATAGCGTAACTTGTAGTTCCTTGGTCCTTCTTCTTTTCTATAAATTTATCCTTGGCTCTCTATCCGAGTCCATTCTGATTCTCGTGTTGTTTCGTCAATATTCTTGCACTACACCATCGGGTTTTCTACCGTTGACTGAAACCGTAACTTGTACCAGGATTACCTTTCCGATCAGCAGTGGATAGGTTCCCTTGTGACACACGTTTTGCAGAGCTCCTATAGCCTGAGATAGGCCAACACAGCTGGATGGCGTGTGGGGAGTCGGATAAGCCCGGGAGGGGACGCACCACTGACTTCCGTGGATCCCATTCTACTGAAGCCAATACCCATACAATTTGGTTCCACTGCATGCTTCTCAAGTCACCGGAATTTCGAGAAAGTAATAGTGTCATTTCTCCTGATATGCCCCTCTGCCGAACACACGGCATGTTGGCTACTGCTTACTACTGTGTGTTGAACATACTTGATACTGCACGGCAGAGCTCTGAAAAGGGTGTGTAATGTGTATCTTATTTTCGGAGGGGAACGCGAACTGTGATGCCTGTTAGCTTGTGCAAGCCCAGAGTTTTGTTTGCATGCTGAGTACACGTACATTCTTTGCTTGTCCCCTACAGGAATCCTTTGAAAAGTGCAGATGACCAAATTGACTTGCATGGTCTGCATGTCAATGAGGCTGTGGACCTTTTGGATGACATTCTTACAACGCAGGAAGAAGGTATTGTACTAGTGCCTGCGGTTATGTTTACACTCTGTTGGCTTAGAGTGCGTCTGCCTGTGTGCTTGTGTATGCATGTTCATGTTTGTGCATGCGTGCGCTGCATGTGTGTGTGTGTGTCTGCACATGTGTGCATGTGTGTGCACGTGCGTGTGTTTGTGTGCTCACCATGGTAGCGACAACTCATTGTCGACCGTTTGTGTCGTGGCAACCCTTGCCACACGTACACCGTCCTTCTGTTCTGTTCGATTCCCATCTGTTCTGTTCTATATCATCTATTCCAGTCGTTTCTGTTCTACCGTACTGGCAATATATATGGTCGCAGTGAGGCCATGAAGCGTTACATTGGCACATGTTTACCGCACGCAGGGCGTTACATGCAAAGCCGCACAGGAGCCGTTACACAGGTTTCTATATTGCCGCAGTCCTTTTTTTTGCCACGCGGTACACGTGCTTTCACAGTGTTCAGCCTTTGCAGTGCAAACTGCATGCTGCAATGAAAAGATCGCCGCACCCCGCCGGTCGCGCGTTACGAACGCAACGAAAATGTGTCGCACTAGCCTGGTCGCGCGTTACATCGCACCCCCCCCCCCCCCCCCCTGCGTTACGCGTTACGCGGCAACATATATTGCCAGTACGGTATTCTGCACGAATTCTTCTTCTGGTTTCTACATGTCAGTTAGCCAATCACCTGCAATTGTTGCGTTGCGCAATGTAGTGTTACATGTATTCCTATGTGTATTGCTGTACTAGTGCTAGTTGGGTAGAAGTTGTGTATTAAACAGTGTGTGTAGTATAGGTACTTTTAATATCACTCGTAATCAGTATACTGTAAGTATCTATTATTGCACGATTAAAGAGGTCAATATATGAAATATAGAACGAGTAAAAGACCGAGGTCCCCCGAGGTCTTTTACGAGGTCTATATTTCATATATTGACCGATTATGAGGGCAATAATAGATTTATCACGACATAGCATACCTAAAACTGGTTTTGCTTTGCTATAGGAAGAAAGGAATACTATTGTAATAGTATAATAGTATGTACATATGCCGTTTACATTGGACATTACTTCTGTGTAAACCGAAGTTTTCAGTTGTCTCTTGTAGTATGTTCCCCAAGTTCTTTGACTGAGAATCTGACAGTTTGGGTTCAAATCCCAGCATTTGGCTTCAGATTTTTCTTCTTTCAGTTCTAATTTTTTTCTAAGTTGAGGAAAAAGTTCTAAGTCCTCGGGCTAAGTGGTCAATATAAGCGGTCAATATATGCTGATATTTGACCGCTTAGAGATCACAAGTTTCTGTGGGGGTCAATAATAAGAGAGTGATAAAAGCCATTATTCTAACGAGGCGCATATATAACGATTTCCCAAAATTGACTTGTTTACGTGTACCAAAGGTAACGATTTTCACTCATTCTCAACGCTCAATAGGTCAGTATATGATCACTATATGTATCGATTTCTTATAACGATTTCTATTTTAACGACAGATTTCTTCTCGTTAACTCGTTAGAGTTAGCACTTCGTTATATATATATATGGCTTTTACAGTACACATAAATAGTACACCGTAGGTATTCATAGTAAGCTGTGCGCATACTCGCACTGCCTTTGTCTGACTGTGTGTGTGTGTGTGTGTGTTCTTGTTGGTGTGTGTTCTTGTTGTGGCATTGTTGTTGTTGTTGAAACACACACACACACAGCCGGTACCGGGCGTAAGTACATTCTGGTGGTGACCGGGCGTGGTGCACACAGCGTCGGCAATCGACCCAAGGTGCGCCCTGCTGTCGAGCGCTACCTTGCCAGCCACCATTATCGCTTTGAGCATGTGAACCCCGGCCTCATCAAGGTGCACCTCAGGTCTCATTGATGCCCTTCCTCCCGTCCCTTCCCGGCGTCCTTTGTCATTGTGCTATGTCTGGGTGAGAATTTTTCCGCAATTTCTGTATCTGGTTTACTGTCCTGCTGGATTCTAATGGCTTGTCTTTGTCCAATGCCACTCCACGCTGGTTTCTGTTGCCTTGTCCTTTCCCATGCTACTCTGAATCGGCAGTAGATGCTTTGTCTTGCGACGTCGTAATCAAGGCTTGATGTGACGTGTTCTTATTGTTTGTGGCTGCTGGCTGTGCACACCGCCGGCTCAACGTCCGTCTATTCTCAATCTATGCAGTTAGTGTCTTATGCGCAAGAGCATTGCTTTGCAGTGCCAAATTTTCGCTGTAGCACATTGGATGGTGTTGACATCCTGCCCCTTTTGTGACTGACAACTTTCCTATGTGCTTTGTTTCTGATGAGGCAGCTCCAGAATCCTCTACTTGAGTACTTTCTATTTAAAATGCTTGCCATCAAACACACTACGCAGCTGTTTTTCTTGTGAAATTTCTATTTTTTTATCACTAGTCTAGACGGCATTTCCTGTCGCCTCTCGCTGTTCGTTTAGGGAACAAAACATTTTCAAGTCTCATCCTTTGTTTAAAAAAAAGTTCTTTTCTCTAACGATCATTTCCTTTTTAGTCTAGATTGTTCTTAGTGAGCTCTATCCCTTGCTCAGCTTTTTTAACGTCTGTCTAGCACCCGTCGCGCATGAGCGGCCCCAATTCCGCAGCAAGGAGTAGTTTAATGTTAGATCTACCCAGATGCACCTCCCTGTTGCACAGTAGGGTTTTAGCAGCTTTTTCCAATGCTCCGTCTGATTTGTTTGATCTATATGTACCAGAGTATGATGGTTATAGTGTGATGTCATGCGCTCTTCACTCACTGCCATGTAGGGAGTGGATGCGCTGTCGGTGTCGGCATGTTTACCAGTACTCTTGAGATGTCCGAGACTTGTACTACAGGTTTGATGGTAATTGCAATTGTTGGTGTTGTGGCCGTGCGTTCGTGTGTATGCGTGTACGTGTTTGGGGGGGGGGGGGGGGGGCTGCTCCTGCTGGCGATACTGCAAGCTGCTGTCGTCTTCATTTTATCCACATTTTTTGCTGATGCAGCTACATCGTACATGTACCGTAGTGCTTGTCTTGGTGGTTGCGCTACATATTCATTCGAAAGAAACAGGACAGTGTTGGTCACTGGGAGGGGAGGCATGCTGAGGACTGCTTCATCCAATAAATTAAAAGCACACAGGGGTTGCCACCCAGGTGAGCCACTCCGGGTCATAGTTTTCCCCTATGTAACTGGGGTGTTGCAGTGATACACTGACAGCCTTAGCCCTAGAAAAAGACAAGGACAGTAATAACTATTATAACAAGAGTACTGTACATCCAAAGATCAAGTCGCTGTAGCTTGGGGGCTCCACCGTCGACCAGTGTATGATCGGATGCTTGGTCTTCTGCAATCTGTCAGCGGGGAAGAGGGTAGATCTACGGTGTGGCGTGGGTGCATCGTGTGTGTGTAGGGCCTAGGGAGTCGTGAATCGTGAAACACAAAAAAGGGTTTTGTAGCTCTGGTCCATGGTGTACGTGTACGTACGTGTGCATGTGACGCCTTCTCTTTGGTTTGTTCGTGTGTTTTTTTTTAATTCTTGACGAAGTAGCCACTCTCCCAGCCATGGCATCCACGTCGGTGAACGGTGGGACAAAGCGAGGTTCAAGAAAGCGCCCATCGCAGGGTGAAGTTGATGCTCCCCCTGCCAAGGCAGCTCGACCTGCGCCGACTGGAAAGCCTTCGCTGGCTGAAATATTCGAAACTCTGGAATATGGGCCAGCCCCAGAATCGGCTGCTGTTGCCAACGAGTGGCTGGAGGAACGTGGCCGTGCCCTTGGACATTTCATAGATGGGAAATGGTACAAGCCAGATGGTAGAAACACGTATGATTCCACGAACCCGGCCACTGGGGAGAAGCTAGCTACCACGTTGCAGGGCACTGCTGAGGATGTGGATGTAGCTGTGGCAGCAGCACGTAAAGCCTACAAATCCTGGAGCACTGCACCAGGTAAGCAAGCATTTCATTTACATTGTACATGTACGATACTTGCAAATTGTAACTTGCACACATATCACCATGCATACCGGTACACACGATACCATCCGTACATATGTACAAGTGCTTGATCTGACATCACAAGTGGGTAGGCACTGGGTAGGCAGCAACATCAGTTGCATCAATTCCATCTCCACCGATGGTGACAACAGTGGCAATGGTGGCACCAGCAGAAGTAGCAGCAGCGAGAGAGACAGAGAGAGAGAGAGAGAGAGAGAGAGAGAGAGAGAGAGAGAGAGAGACGGAGAGAGCGGGTGGTGAAGATGAGGAAGCGAAAAACAAAAACATTTAGAACATTGCGTGCCTGTAGTGAAGATCCTTGGCTTGAGTTTTGGTGTTGACACTCCAAGAGGACGGTCAGATACTTTTTTTCGCCTTTACTAGTCTCGTATAAAAGTAGGACGCGTGTAGAAGCGCGGAAATTGGAAGAGTTTAAACTTTTGACGCATAGGCATGCCTTTGTACCTCAGTTATGCGTAAAATTGCAGCTTGAATAGAAGCCTGTTTTGACTACCTGTAACAGCATCGGCTTGTGTGGTCATAAGCCTTGCATCTTCACACCACTCCGTGTGTCTCCGTCAAACTGAAATAGTTATCGTCAGCACCACCATTATCTCGCTGCAGCACATTCGCACCACACACACAATGGAGTGGCAAACAGTGCCAATAGGACTCTAGATGTTGCGCTCACTGTCTCGTGAAGTTGACAGCTATTGCATTACACTTGCCACGAGGCGGTACAGTGTTGCTGGAGATAGGCGTACATCTACAGTCCACTGGCATTGGCGCGAAATATTCTCACCTGGAGTAGAAGTCATTGTTGTTGCTTTCAGAGCCAATCAATGGTGCATCAGTTGGACGGTTGATAGTGCCCATGCAGTTTGCATGTGGTTTCCTAGTGGTGTTGATGGCGTGTTGCTTGGTGCCTGCTGCTACTTGTTTTCCATCGCTTGTGTCGTGTGGTGGTGGTGGTGGTGGTGGTGGTGGTGGTGGTAACAGTTTAGTGCTGCACAGAGTCACCGATTTTCCAATACATGTACACTGTGCCTGGGCTACTTAGTCCTGGCGAGACTGCAATAACTGCAGTCTACTTTCTTCTTTGCATGAGAGCAGCATGCGGTCTGCTACTTGCTTGCTTGCGATCTACTCTCCTGGCCAAGCCAGGCGTGTGTTGGGTTAATGTTAGCTTGAGCACGGTGACGTGTGTGTGTTTGCTTGCGCGCACGTGTGCATGCATCTATACTTATGCATGTGTCTTTGCCATGTTATTTTCATCTGCAGGACACGTACGTGCGCGTCATCTCTATGCCATCGCTCGCAATGTCCAGAAGCACATGCGTCTCCTGGCCGTCCTCGAATCCATGGACAATGGTAAGGCACATGCTGGAGTGCGCACTCTGACCCATCCATCATCACCCTGGGTACCAGAATAATACTTTATATAGGAGCACGTGTCCCCTGGGCATAGGCCATAGTTGACAGTTGCACATCGGTAGCTATCTGTCACATACTGTACATCCACGTCCGTATGCAGAGTTTCAGTCAGGAACAAGACTCTGTAGATAGTAGTGGATACTAGACTTATGGTTCCTTCACACTTGCTTTGATGGATATCGTCATACGCAAGGAATCCCAGGAAATACCATTTTGTGTCCAGTTCTACTTTCGTAGATACGCTTTTTCGACTTCGCCCAACATCCGGATGGTTTCTCTTGCTGTTATACCCTGGAGTTTTACCCAAATCGTGATGTATACTACAGTACACAGGGATGAATTTACTGTCATGTTTTTGCATAGCAGTTTTTGCTATGCAAAATCTCAGTTGTGGCGTAAGCATGGATAGCCTGTACATGTATGTATCGCAGTTTTCTGTGTGTCACTGTGATTTTTGAGTAGCAGTTGATTGATTTTGTGTAGCAAACTGCGATGCGATACCGGATAAATTCATCCCTGGTACATGTAATAAAGAAAAGGACCAAGGAACATGTGTTATGTATTTGAGCAGACCATTCTGAAGAGGTTTGCCGAAAAAATAATACTATTGACTATTGAAAAGTCCAGGGTGTCACGTTTATTCAAGACAGCGTATTCCCTTCAAGTACATTACCCTTAGGATCTGGACTTCAATCATACTGAGATAAAGGACACACTCCAGGCTCTCCAACATCATCTTTTAAAACGTTTTTCACAAATATACTTTCAACCCATATCGTCAGGTGAGCCTGAACTGCTGAAGTGTGTCCTTTTTCTCCGTGCTATTGCATTCTTGTCTCCGTGGAAACTGTTCACTTATCTGTACTTCACTGTTTTATTCTTCCCATCAGGTAAGACCATCCGTGAGACACGTGACTGCGATGTGCCACTTGTCGCTCGTCATTTCTATCACCACGCTGGATGGGCACAGCTGCTCAAGACGGAGTTCCCCACCTGGAAGTCAGTCGGAGTTGTCGGTGCTATCGTTCCCTGGAATTTCCCGCTCATGCTCCTCACGTGGAAGGTGAGGTTGCTCCCTTGCGTATGTGCGTGTGTGTGCACGTGCGTGTGTGTGTGCACGCGCGCGTGCGTGTGTGTGTGTGTGTGCATGCATGGGATGCAGGTATGCAGCATATTTTAATATGCAAAAACATAAAACAATATTTTTGTCCCATGTTCTGTGTGTGTACCCTGCAGGTGTGCCCTGCCTTGGCTGCTGGCAATACGGTTGTGTTGAAACCTGCTTCATACACTCGCCTTACAGCCTTGCTGCTCGCGGAGATCTGCTCTGAGGCGGGTCTTCCCCCGGGCGTGTTCAACGTTGTGACGGGAAACGGTGCCTTTGGCAGCAAGTTGGCTGAGCATACCGACGTTGACAAGGTGGCATTCACTGGCTCGACTGGAGTAAGTTTACCTGGCAGCAATGCTGCAATGTTTAATTATTCATACCCAACTCTGTACTCATTAGGATACCTCAGCGCAAACACTCAAAAATACAGTCTCTTTGCAGCGCACATCATCAACTTTTCACCAAATTATCGGGCATGGCGCTTCCTCAGGGTGAAACAGAGAAACGATTAATGTGTAAATGACAACAATGGAGTCTGCGAGTGTTTACCCAATGCTGCACTTTTTAATTATACCTATAACGCCCACATCTTTCTGAGCTGTTGCAGCTTTACCTTATCGGCGGGAGACTACCCAGTGGCATTGTCCCGCCAACTGCATTGCTCATAATAATAATAAAAAATGGGTGGAACCCCCTCAAGTCCAGCGTCGCGATGCATAAACGCAATTTTGCAGTGTGCCGGGCTCTGTACCCGAAGACGATGCCGTACTTCATTGCACAGTTCTGCTGTGTGCTGTTGCTATTGATGCACGTGCAGAATTTAGCAGAGGATCTGCACCTATTGGTACCAGAGAGAATATGAATCAGCCAACCTGATAACGAATATCGATGGAGTGTCCTCGCACCGTACTCGCATATCATTTTGGCATACAGTACAAACACATAGAAGATACCTGGTCTTGAATGATCTTGTTTTCTTGTCCTATCTCTCGTCACGCTAGGTCGGTCAACTGCTACGCCGTTCCACGGCTGGCACAGGCAAGAGGCTTTCCCTGGAGCTTGGCGGCAAGTCGCCGTTCGTTGTGTTTGACTCAGCCGACTTGGATGCTGCTGTGGAAGGAGCAGTTGATGCCATTTGGTTCAACCAGGGCCAGGTACTGTTGCCACTTGTTCAACTAAACCGTTCCCGTTTGTTTTACGTGTACATGTTTGGTCCTTCCAGTTCCCAGCCTTCTTTCGTATCACCTGTGTACGAGCGATTTGTTCGCTTGCTCTTCTGTTTACAAGCATGGTCTCACCCTTAATGTGCCTAGCTGTGTCCTTGCCCTCATTCAATGCCTAACTTTATGTTGTTGATATGTGTGTATGCATGTGTGTGCGTGTGTGTGTGCGTGTGTGTGTGTGTGTGTGTGTGTGTGCGTGTGCAGGTTTGCTCCGCCGGCTCACGAATGATCGTGCAGGAGAATATCTATGACACGATGGTGGCGAAGCTGAAGGAGCGCATGGCTCGCCTGCGCCTCGGCAGCTCCATGGACAAGTGCATGGACATGGGCGCCATTGTGGACGAGTCTCAGCGACGCTCCATCGACGAGTTTGTGCAGCGCGCCAAGAAAGAGGGTGCCGATGTAAGTCACCAACTAGTGTAGTGTCCTTGCTGCTGTGCTCGTGCTCATACCGTGTTTCCCCGATTGTATGTCGCACTCGATTGTAAGTTGCACTCCTATTTCCAGGTCTATGTCATATCGTTTCGGTATATTCACTTCAGTAGTAATCATGCCCCTTTGGTGGCCGTGAAGTTGAGTGTAAAAAGGTGCGACTTATAATCGGTGAAATACGGTACACTCTGCCCATGCTCATACAGTACAGTATGACTCGCATAGAAGATGTGTTGCTGTCTTGCTGACCAGATATGCAGCCTTGCATGCTCCAGCGCTTCAGTATATGAACTTGATGCAGCTATGCGGTAACGTACGCCGCTGCACTATGTGTTGGCATCGCTGTCATGCTCACCAGAGTCACCAGAGTGCGTTTCATGTTTCTGTTGTATTATGCTGCTGGCTACGTATAGGTGCATCAAGCCTGTGCCTGCATGCCAGAGAAAGGCTGCTACTATCCGCCAACTCTTGTCACCAACGTCTCCACCGTGTCTTACATTGTCCAGGAAGAGGTAAGCTACACAGTACACAGCAGTGTGGCCACGCTGTATTCCACTCAAGTGTTTAGGTCTGCTTCACTGCTGCTTATGTGATGCTGGTATGGGTTTGCCTTCTGGCTTCGAGAAACTGTCTCGTAGCACTGCTCCCAAATGCCCCTGCATTTGTAGTTGTTTTCCCTGAACAATAAGTCAATAACGCAAAGCCAGTGCTACACGTAGTGTTCTCTACCACGCTTCAGAAAGAACATTTCCAGGATTCTCAGCTTTGTACCGTATGTCCGCACCTTTAAAGCCATGGCGGTATATTCGATTACAAAGCCAGTCTCAGTTATAAAGCCATGGGCTTCATAAATGAAATGACATTTGAAGTATGTTTTGTAAAAATGAAGGAATAAGTACTATGCTAACATACTTACAGCCCAGCAGGAAGGGTGAACAAGTAGATTTAGATTGAAATTTCTGTGTGGACATCGACTTTTATGGCATGGCGTAGTGGGTGAGTCATTTTGCATCTAAAATATCTAGGAAAGCAGCGGTGTTTCGAATATAAGGCCATGGCTTTAAAGGCGCTGACATACGGTATGTTGCAATGCAGCATAATTGACAGTCACGTACCATATACTCTCTGTCTGTCCTCTCTGCTAGGTCTTTGGCCCTGTCCTCACGGTGCTGACGTGTATAGTGGATTTTGGACCAATGGACTCTAATATAGGGTGCTGGACATCATATAGTGCATGGACTTTATACTGAGTCCAACATATACATGTACCCTCTCTCTCCTGTCTGCTAGGTCTTCGGCCCTGTTCTCACAGTGCTGACGTTCCGTACTCCCAAGGAGGCCATTGCCCTGGCCAACAACACCAAGTTTGGCCTGGCCGCCAGCGTATGGTCGGAGAAGATCAACGTTGCTCTGGAGACGGCTATCTCGATCAAGGCCGGCGCAGTGTGGGTCAACGGTCACAACATGTTTGACGCCGCAGCCGGCTTCGGCGGCTATCGTGAGAGTGGATATGGCCGTGACGGTGGAAAGGAGGTGAGCTAAACTGCAGCTTATCTTTCTGACACCCTATGTGTGCTAGTGCTGTCTGGTGATGGGTAAAATCGTAAAACTCGGAGTTACAACAGAGACTCGGGTATTGAGCCAATAATAAAAGTAGAAAGGAAAAGGACATATGGAAACGAGGTGTCAGGACGTCGAATGTCTCAGTACTCTGTCAGTTTTGTGCCTAGTTGTTGCACTTTCTGACTGTATATAGTATCTAGTTACAGTGGTGGAGAGTTACTCTTAACTCGTTTCCATAATGTCCTTTTCCTTTCTACTTACAACAGAAACACTTTGTTTCCTTCTTCTTATGTGTAATACCATAATATGTGTTTATTCAGTGGAGTTTAGGGTCTGTATCACTACTTGTACTTGTTTTTAAATTTATGCTTGCATGCTTGCCATACTTTTGCATGTACTTCATGAAATACATACAGTACATGACTGTAAACATATTCACTAGTTGTGGGAATGGAAAAGGAAAAAGTCTGAAGAAAATACATGTATTACTACTTCATTGAAGTGGAATCATGTGTACAGTATTGTAAGTTTAAATATAGCGGTAGTTGTTCTTTTGCTGGTCACCCATGACGACAATCTTGTTCCATGCTCTGTGTGTGTGTGTGTGTGTGTGTGTGTGTGTGCATGTGTGTGTGTGTGTGTGTGTGTGTGTGTGCATGTGTATGTGCGTGCATGTGCGTGTGTGTGTGTGTGTGTGTGTGTGTGTGCGCGTGTGTGTGTGTGTGCGTGTGTGTGTGCCTATATGTGTGTGTGTGTGCGCGCGTGCGTGTGCGCGTGCGTGTGTGTGTGTGTGTGTGTGTGCAGGGTATGTATGAGTACCTACGACCGAGCTGGGAGGAGCGCGCCCGGCCGGTCGTCGACGAGAAGAAACTGGCCACGTTTGCAACCACTGTGCCCGGCCGGCCTCTCAACCCCAACGATGGCCATGGAGCTCTTATCCATCCCATCGGAGAGCAGTCCGGACACATCGTGCCCAGGTAAGCTCAGCTAGTGTATCTGCCTGCCTGCTTGCTCCTCCTATGTACAACAGTTTGTAGCAGCTATCCGGAGATTGAAGGCTTTGAGCAATGTATGTGCACTTCGCGGGTGATCATAACAGGTGTGTATACTATGTAAAGGTTATTGAGATAGGCCAAGTGCTCAGGGTGGGGCTGTAGTATAGGTTGGTTGCTGCAACCAGGGATGTAAAGTTCAGGGCCATAGCACCCGGTCCTGACGGTCCGGACCTTTTTTCAGCAACGGATGGCCCGCCCAGTTTGTAAAATATGGGGATTTTCGTCAATAGTGTCCATTTCTGGTCAAGTACCTCATTTGGCCGGACCACCTGAAATCCTGAAATCCCAGTACGACCCTGTAGTTGCAATGTGTTTGCCATTGGCAGTGCTTTCCTGCCAAAACAGAATTATCTTTTTGGTGTTCTGGAGCCAGCTGTTCCTATTCGTGTGATTGTTGCTAATACATGCCCGCCTCTCTGAATACTCTGTGCTCTTCTGCAGCATTGACCGCACTGTCAAGTTGTACATTGGCGGAGCACAGAAGCGGCCTGATGCCACCTATTCTCGGGCTGTCCTGGGTGCCGATGGCCAAGTCATTAGCAACGTCGGCGAGGGTAATCGCAAGGACATCAGAGAGGCCGTTGAGGCTGCTTACAAGGCAGCGCCTGGGTAAGGAATTTGAGGGAGTGGGTGAACATGAAGCACTTTTAGTGCTGTGTCGGAGCATGGTGTGGCGATCTGTTTGGGAAACATGCTGTGTGGCGTATGGACATTCCACGAGTGCTGTTAAAGTGGCTCTCACAATGAAACCTGCACCAATATAAGTTTTCTCAAATTTCTGGGCTGCTGTGCATCAGTTGGGTAATAATAATAATGTCATTGATCTCCTTTCTACTTGTTCTTTTCCGTATTGCTGTCCTGTGTGTTTGTCAGCTGGGGCAAACGTGCAGCACACAACCGTGCACAGATAACCTACTACATGGCCGAGAACCTGGAGCTGCGTCGCCAGGAGTTTGCCGGGCGCATCTCGGCCATGACCGGGCGTGACATGCAGAGTGCGCTGAAGGAGGTGGACCAGTCCATCGAGCGCCTCTACCACTGGGGTGCCTATGCTGACAAATTTGGAGGCAGTGTTCAGGTAGGATTGGCGTGCTCACTCGTTTCAGTGTGACAACACTGTACTTACAGTCGTTAGACTTTCACCACCCAATTGCAAGTAGTCATTTATACATGTAAAGATTGCTATGGGCTGAAAGCAGATTCCGGAGGCAGCGGGTCTGGGCTCTCCTTTTGAAACTTAGACTTTTGTTTTCCTCATACATCTAGTGATGGTACAGTGCCATTAACCCTTTCACGGTCTCAGAATCCAGTCGAAATGAGGCTATTTACAGAATTCAACAATTTCGTACCTTGATTCATCCATAACTTCAGTTTCCCTTCGCTTATTTTCGTGATCTTGGGCTCTCTGGAAAGCTCTGGACAAGAGCAACACGCCGAGCTACAATTCGACACCAAGCGTGCCGTGGATCCAGCGCTGCAGCGCAGCGACATCGCCCCAGTGCTTGATTCACGACGAGAAACAAGATTCAACAGCCATTTCCCTCTCCTTGCTCACATCGAGCTCATATTTTTTGTGAGGAGTGCTGCGAGTCCATACTCTCATTTGAATCCGTGTCTCTATGGCGACAGGTAGCTGCAAAGGGAAAAACCCGTCCTCAAGACCCAGCTCGCCCACTCAAATCGTAAATGAGCCGTGACGCAGATCGCGAGCTTCGTAGCATCGCAGCCGTTCACTCTATCGCTTCGGCGATTGTTCCTACGGATAGCCTGGAGCTTTCTCTTCAACCCAGATATTTAGATGTTCGAATTTGCTCAAAAATTGACTGAGTTACGATAGTTTGAAAAAATCGATCACCAAAATCGATCACCGGTGATCGATTTTCAAATGTGAGACCGTAAAAGGGTTAATTAATCCCATTGACTGTTTGGTTGTGCCATACAGGGTCTACTCCACACAATATGATACAGTGCACTTCTACTTGTACCTGTTGGCATTATGGAACTTAACTGTTACTATGCACACACCACGCTGAGCCACTTCTCGATTTGCACTGCTCATCACTAGCTTTGCCAATAGTGTAAAGTTGCAGTAAGGATCCAACCTAAATTACTAATCTTGAACTGTTTGTGTCTGCTGTAACTGTGTGTATACTACAGTTGCGCTCACTGAAATCCGACCCAAAGTGCATATTTGGCGTCCCCAACTAGCACGCCCTTGACGCCCTGGAAGTGGCACGAATGCGGCTGGACGTACACATGTACAAATACAATGATGTAATCGGAACTGGTCCAGGGCGCCGGCTTTGCACTTCGGGTCGGATTTCAGTGAGCGCAACTGTAGTACCTGGTCTAGTGTGTGTATGCTAGTACCTGGTCTAGTGCGTCTTGTCACCGTTGTTGTTGGCGGCAGTGAGATTGTTTCCTGTGCGTCTCTCGCTTTTGCTATTTTGCTGCACAGGAGACAACACTCTATGGTGCTACAGTCAAGATCCACGAGCCAGCTGGTGTGATCGGCATTGCATGTCCAGACGAGTACCCTCTGTTGGCGTTTGTCTCGCTCTTCGCCCCTGCCGTGGTGCGTGGCAACACGATTATCATTGTGCCCAGCGAGAAGCACCCACTGTCGGCGTGTGATCTCTATCAGGTACGCAGTGGACATGCAGTGTTTGGCTGTTTGTTTGTTTTTCTCTCCTGGAGTGTGTAGGTTTGCATCTGACCTCATCAATACTACACTAGTGCAGCCCCTAGCACTATACAATCATGTAGCTCTACAAATGTAAACATTGTCATGCACTTTGTTCGTATGGTATTGGACTTCACTTTAACACCAGCATTGGACTACTGTAAACCGCTCAATGTTTGCGTCACTACATTTTTGCGATCTCTCGATTTTACGATGGCAAATGTTCGCGGAGCACGGTGACCTCACATATACACCCACTGTTGAAGTTTGATTTCGCAATGGTTAATATTTGCTCTATACTCTTCCTGCAAAATTAGCAAACATTAGGCAGTTTACAGTACTTCGAAGTACATGCACCGGTATGTCGAGTGTGAAGGCCGGGTTTATTTCCGCAGAAGCCGACTTTAGTTCTAGGGTTCTCTTCAAACCAGGCTCGTATTCAAGCCTGGTATAGTGTTGCCACACTAAACCAGGTATTTGTGCTGACAGTCTTCTCTTGGAAATCAGGCTTGTATTGAAAACAGGCTTCTATGCGAGACAGGTTTTATGCCAGACAGCACGGCATGTACTGTGCAGTGCACGTACAGTGTATTTTTGTGGCAGCGCCGCCGTCATGCAACACATACTTTTGTCTTGAATCATGATCTTGTACCATCATACTGAGCAGGCTGTTGTTTTCTATATTTGTGTGATGTGTGCACAGGTATTTGACACATCCGACTTGCCTGGCGGTGTCGTGAATATTGTGACCGGAGACCGTGATCATCTCAGCAAGTACCTGGTTGAGCATCAGAACATCGAGGCCATGTGGTACTTTGGCTCAGCCGAAGGTAGCCGCTTTGTGGAGGCCACGTCGGCAGTCAACGTGAAGCGCACCTGGGTCAACTACGGTGTGAGTCGCGACTGGAGCGATGACGAGCAAGGCCACGGCGAAGAATTCCTCATCCAGTCCGTTGAATGCAAGAACATCTGGCTGCCGATGGGCGAAATCTTCGCCAACTAAGAGAATGTAGTCAGCACGGCGGATTTTAACCTAGGCTTCCGCTTCTGGACACACCTGTAGCAGTGCCCCGATATTGGTGGCAGCTAACTGGTGTGCCCACTCTTCACCAATACAAGTCAGCTCAGCATGGGCATGCCATTGCTCTGTCCTGCTCTCAGTGTGGTCATGCCATTGCTCTGTCCTGCTGCTTTTCAAAGAAGAACTCAACCAAGTTCGTACAGTTGACCGTTTTTAGTTTCTTGTCGTGTCGTAGCTCTCCAGATCATTTCTTTGATTGGTTTGCTGAGCTTCTCCACCATGTAAACCACCAGGTGGGAGTTTGTTTTAGACTTTAGCTGCATGCAGGCATGCAACGAATTACAGAGGATTTCCTTGTCATTTCATTTCTAGTAACTTCCGAACATGTACTTTTAGCAGTACATTTCGGTACTTTTTATTGCGATAACTTTTATTAATTTTTAACCAGTCATCCCTGGCGCCATGGCCTGCAGTTACATATTATAACACTACTTTGTTTAATGTCCAAGAATCTTCCGATGGTTTTGGTAACTCTTTCACTAATTCCTACCCATGAGAAAGTGGGTAATCCTTGTGTGGTTTACAGTGAAATCTTTAGTGGCATGAGAGCACATCAGCACTAGCATCGGTATACAGTCATGTTGGAATAGCTGGCTAGGAATGATAGGCAACGCAGAACTACAACTGTGGTCCTGAGTGTGGAGGTACTAGGTACACTATCACAGAACTGCAACATAGAAAATCATTTTGAGAGAATAAAAAAACCAAAAAAAATACATGTACAGCGTACAGGCCCATAGCATGCCCAGAGGAGACGGCACCGAGCGTGTGAAGCCCATGACTATAAAGTTCGCCCTGGCATTGCTGCTCAACATCAATACAGTGTAGGCGAATGTCCACGCCGGGTAACGTATTGCCACGTGACACATGAGCAGCGCAGTGCCCGAAGGTCGAACAGACACCGAAGGTCGAACAGACACCGGCAGACTAGTTGAGTTGCGGCGCTCTGGCACGGCAGTGGTATCGGGAGTACTGCACCAAACACATCGACCATCAAGACTTTTTTTGTAAGGACGTGCTGTATGGAGCTTTTGGACTTCTTCATGCTGCTGTATGCCGCCAAGTCGTCTCCATGCAACACAACACACATCGCCATAGGGTCCGGGTGTATTCTGTCAATCAGTTTTCTTTCTGTCACCCTTCCTAACCCGGTTCATAGCCTTAACGCTACGTTTTGTGCCAGCATTCTTCAGTCGCTTTTCTTTCTTCTCCATCTCTTTCAGCAAGTATACAGACAGCACCAAACATATCAGAAGAATCGGGCTGATCATCATCATTACGTTCAAGAAGAAATCTGCGGGGTTACGCGCGCCATACTCTGCTGCCTCCACGAACTTGTCCTTTATCCATTGCCAGGCGTCGTCCATCACTACTGCTGGATGAGATACGATCCTGAAAACTCAGTCCACGAGCTTGTGCAATACTAGTATTCAATCAATATTATTATAACTCTGAGCTACCTGGTGATACTACTGCCTACTAATACTGCACGTCCAGCTCAAATCAATCACGGTACATATGCATATTGTGTCGCTGCGTTTATTGCTCGTCTTTAGGCTCAGCCCTTCTGTTTTGGGGTACTGGACAACTTAACTCTATTCAAATAACAACTCTCCTAATTTTCTTCTTGTAAGAATTCAAGTGATGCCGCAGACGTCGACGATTCAGACGAAGACTCAAACCGTCAACTGTACTGGTCATGGTCAAACGAGGCTGCATCATCATCGATGCATCAGTGATGTCATCCATACGAGTACACGTCGCGAAATCGTTGTTTGATGAGTATTTTGCAGAAGACATCACTAATTATTTTTCGATTCGTTTTGTTGTCGTTTACTTTTGAACAGTTTTAGTACGAGACTGTTCGTACTCCCTTTTACTTGTTCATATTTTTCTTGTGCCTGGACCGAACGTTTTCTTCCCGTTCTACAAGACTTAGTGCAGCAGCATTCAGCCTTCAGGAAGAGGTTTTATTGCCTCTGTTGTGTGCTTCTTCTCGCCCGAATAGCAGGACGATTGGCATTTGCATCTTTGCTGGATACTCAGGTGTTGAAGGTTTCATCTGCTCGTAGTTTTGGAGCTGAGTAGGGATCCATTGCAGTAGTTGTTTTGTACCTGACTATTGGATCTCGATTCCACAGTAGCTTGTGAAGAATCTGATTTTCTGCTGGCGAGGAACTTGTGGAGCTTGTGAACATGGCTACCTACAGTGTGACGGCGGCAATGGTGAAGGCGCCAGTGAAAAAGGAGCAGCCAGCGCGCTGTCAGAACTGCTACAAAGCCGGCCACTGGACATATGAGTGCAAAAATGAACGCAAGTACTTGGAGCGCTCCAGTCGCACCAAGCAACTAAAGCAGAGGCAGAAACGAGTAGAGGAGCTGAAGGCTCGTGCCGCAGCTGCCGTGGTCATTGACGGCAGCAGCGCCAAGAAGAATGGAGTCGACAAAAAGCGTCGCCGCCGATCTGCGTCAAGCAGTAGCGACAGCTCATCAGACTCTGATAGTTCATCATCAGATAGTGACGACAGTGACTCAAGCTCAGATGACTCCAGCAGCTCTAGTGAGAGCAGCGACAGTAGCTCTAACAGTAGTAGCAGCAGTTCCGAAAGTAGCAGTAGTGACAATGACTCCAGTTCCAGTGAGAGCAGTAGCAGTAGCGAGGATAGTGACTCCGACAGCAGTAGTGAGTCTGATGCGGCACCGCGGAAAAAGAGGCGCAGAAGATGAAGTATACACGGACATATCTAGTCGTGTTTTTGGCCAGTGCCGGGTTGGAGTGCATTCATACTGTCTTCATGGCATTGTACAGAGCTGGGGTAACCGGCTAAGCTTCTTCTAGTCTCGCCAAGGCGTCACAGTATCGGCGATGCAGTATTGAATGCATGCCAGGGCCGCAACGGACTCAGTAAGCCATGGGTGCTGGCCTTTAGTATAACCAGGACTGCTCCCAGCTCAAATTTGTTGACATGGTATATATTGGGGACCACTCCCTGTCACTTTCCTGCTCTTCGCTCTGCCGGCGGCATGCTCGACCAGTTGATCTGTGTGGTCCTAGTATGCTTGAGCACCAGGAGATGTGCAGGGTAACAACAGTCCAGTTGTTTCAACTGCCACTGAATGGCCCTATGCACCGATGGGAAGCCAGCAGTCTTCATCCTTTAGGCTTGTCCCATGAAGAATGGGTCTTAAATGCTGCATGGTGTGCTGGGGTGTACACCTTTCCGTGCCCTGTAGATTTTGACCATAATAACAATAAATCCCATGCCGTGAAAGTAAGTCACTGAACTTTCAGCTTGTTGACATTTGCTTGATACTCGAGCCTGTCAGGCGCACGAGCTCACGTACGTACGTGCGTGAATATGTGTGTGTGTGCGCGCGTGCGTGTGTGGTGTGTGTGTGTGTGCATGTGCGTTTGTAGTATGTGTGTGTGGTGTTCGTGTCCATGTTGCCTAGAACATCTCAAAAATTATAATCTGATCAATGTTTTCTTTTTCGCGAGTACTATTAGTATACTCGCCTTGCTGCTAGCTTGTATGTGGCACATCCGTTACTTGTGATTGTCTGTGTGTACCTCCGTTTTGTCAAAAGTCATATACACCCGTATGTTCTCTTCCAGAGCGCCTGTGTCTGTTGGTTTTGAAGTTTTCATTTTGTGTCCTCCGGGCAGAGTCATTTCTCTTTGCTTTCCTTTGGTTAGGTTTTAGGAGTGCCAACTGTGCTATTTGTTATGTGCGCGGTAGTATTGGCTTACAAGTAGTGCTCTACCATTTTTCTTGATCTCCCGCTTCTCAACGTTTCAGTTGCCTTTTATTTCTTCAAAAGGAGCAGCGATCTCTTTGAAAAGCAGGTGTTGATCTGAGTATGATGTATGCATCGCCGTGTTGTTGAGTGCAGTGTGCTGAGCGTTTCGCACTGACACCTTGGTGGGCCGACCATGCTGCATGTTGGCTACCCCCCGCCACTCTGGGCGGCAGGACCGCGAGCCTGTGTGAAATCCGGTGCCAATGTCATGATGTCAAGATTTTGCAGGATACTAGTATGTACATACCACATGTACGTTTACATTGAAACTGCAAAAATTAAAAACTAAAAATCTGTATTTTAATCCGAGTTATTGTTATTCTCATAATTATATCGCATGGTCCTCAAAACAGTACAATCATGTAGATCTTACAGCCAATATCCATCAGCTTGAAGGAATTGAAAAGGGAGACCCTGAAGGAAAAATTGACTGTCAATATGACCACCAGGACCTCAATTGGCTCAAACCAGCTGCCTTTGCTGATAGTATAATTATAGTAGGCCAGCAATGCTCTACTACAGTGCTGGCAACTGAAATCCGACCCCTGAGCAGTGTGCTCACATCGCAAAGTACCAACACGGGATTTTAAAACTACGAAATAGAGACCGCTAGAATGTGAACACATCTCAGGGGGTCGGATTTCAGTTGCCACCGGTGCACTAGGCTATGGACTATGGTGTAGTCCGCACAGTTAGTTGTTTTCCATATAAAATGCACAGAGTCTTTATTAGAGAGTCACTGTTTCCTCCGAATCGCGACTGGCTCGCTTAGAGTGAGGGTGGTTTGATAGGTGGTCTGGGCTGACCTACTCCTCGGCTAGTGCATTGTGCTCAATCAGGAGTACCGTGATATACTGGCCTCTGGAAAACCAGCCTCTCAGTCTGGGAGCTATCTCTGAGTAGACCATACAGTCTACGTCATGTACTAGTAGTGCACTGGATCTTGTTCCCTCTTCACGCAGTACAGTAGCTCTTTTTCTATTTCTCCTTTCTCAGTTCTTCCGAGCCTACCGAGTTGCCCTCCAGCTCGGCTGGGACAAGTTGCTATTAAAACCTTGCCTGATGTACCGGTGTCAGCCACCGCTGCCTGGTGGCTGCTTGTGTACTCTTTACTTGGCATGGTCACGGGTAGACGGTACGTACATAATATGAATTTTGATAGGTACTCAATATCAGGACTGCTAGCAGCTTCGACCTTGTTCTCCTCAGTGGAGCTCAGAGTTCCTGGCCCGCGATGCAATGAAGTCTAATGTAATGAAGAACAACAAAGCATTACCTTGCACATCATTTATTTGCCGGCGATGGAGCAGCACTTGCCCACAAGCCATGCAAAGCAAATTGTACTTTGACCTCTCTGTACTGCATGCACTGGGCACCGTGTTCTGCCTTCCACCATCACTTACACCTCCGGCCTTGCCAGTGCAGTGCACGCACCGAATGAGCATCAGCCGATGCTCCAACTAACGTTACTTGGTTTTCTCCAGGGAGTCGTATAGAGTCGTATAGAGTCGTATAGAGTCTATGACTCCCTGGTTTTCTCTCTACCACAAAGCCAGGGGCATGTTCAAACGCGTTTTTCAGTTTCATTTTGGGGAATCCACCCAGAACTAAGGTAGGTGCTACACAAACCACTTGTGACAAGCGCGATAAAGTCTTCGCCCGTCCGACTACCATAAGTCTTGACATGCACTTTCCCTGACTGTGTGCAGATTTGACGCGCACAGGCAGTGACAAGAAAGCATCGCCCGGCCAATGTAATGCCTAACTAATGGGACCAAGCTCACCGTCGACGGATGTCTGAGATACACACCATACACTCATTATCATGCACACACCTTGTTTGTATTAGTTGTTCGCTCGCCGTCACACCAGTCTCAAAGCACGACTAGCAGCTTCACGGATCCTCCTTCTATACGGACAGTTAACTGTTTAGCTATTTCAGATTCTTTCCGAGAGTGGCGACTGGAAGGAGATTGCATTTTCCGTCCGTCTATACTACTGCCGCTTGTTCGGAGTCCTAGGCCTTACTTAGCCCTAGCGCCTGTCTCGGTGCTGCTTCCGTAGACTGTCGACTGAACGAGAAAGAAGGCAATCAAAACTGCGGGAAAGGTCGCTCCTGAGTGCGGCGGAAGAGTGTGCAAAAGTAGTCGCTTGCCAAACTGTAAGAAATTGAGAATGACGGAGGCTGATAAGGTAAGATGACAGTACTTCTGTAGTCTGTGTAGACTCCTTACTACTGACTTTTAAAGCGTTTAGTTGATCTTGATTTGCGGAGGGTAATTCGCTGGATGCTTGGGTTTCAACCGCGTTTGGTGGCATTGATTTTCTGGAAACCATAAGCAACATGGAGCAACAGTATCACGATGTTTACCCGTACTCGTGTTGAACTAACTTCCTACAGTACAGTGCAAGATGGTTCTACCATACCTTGGCCGCACGGGAAGCAACGTCTAACTGGTTTGCATGATACCGATACTAGACGTCTAGATCATGTACATGATTGTAGATACTGTACACATTACAGTAATGTTATACAAGGTCGACCTTATGCTATGGTACATGTACACTACTATTAGATAAACCTTGTTTTGTTGAAAACATGTTGTTGCTTGACAGCATGTTACAAGGCGGGGGACCACTGTGTTCGTGGATGGTTGTAGTAAGGTCACTGTTTCCCAACACAGTGGTCCTCCGCCTTGTATTAAACATGCTGTCAACCAACAAAAGGTCGGCCTTGTATCCTATACCGTCTAGACATCTATATGAATGCAAGCCAGAGTGCGCAATGTCTTCCCGTCTCATGAGCGTGTTTCAGGTGTTCTGCCCTTGGCTGTTCTGGTACAAGAGCAAGACACATAGGATAGGGTGATGGTCGTGGGGTGTGGTGGACTTCAGCTTGTAGGTTTCAGCTCCCACCGCTCCTGATGTGCTCTAGCAAACATGATAAGTTCTCGAAGTTGGGAAAAGATTCGCTAAGTTACAAAACATGACCAGTCACAGTACAGTCCTTTCCACTGCGTGATGATCTTTCACAAACCATGCTTCTGAGCAGATACAAGAACATGCTCTTTCGCTTTCCCCATCATGGCATCATGGCATTATGGCATCATGGCATTATGGAAGTGAGAAATCCTGAACACTACCGTGACAATGTATTATCCTCTGGCTCAAGTTCAAGATTTTAGGGAAGAAAAACAAACAATAAGAGGACAGAGAACGTGTTTTAACTCCGAGTTTCACGCACCAAGCGATCATCAGAAAACAGTGATTATGGGGAAGATGTGGCTTTGCTGAAGCCTACTCGAAACGAGTGGAAAACTGATCCCGAGGCCGATGTGTCGACTTTTTCGTTTGCTTTGTTTTGGACATGCTTTGTCTAAATGCTATCAGAAGTTGTTTCACGGCAGAAGGCAAGAGGCAAACCAAGCCAACAACAACAAAACAGTTGATAGACCTAGTAGTGACCTACACAACCTACACAAGCAAGGCTATACATGTAGTCCTATCCAGAATATGAGTACCGTATTTTACCGGTCGTAAGTCGACCCCGGTTATAGGTCGACCCCCATATCCGGAGGTCTCAATTCTGCGTTTTAAAGTTTTCATCCAACGAAGCACTACTAACCACTCCCTGCTACTAACACATCAACAAATCATGTAAACATTCCTTATAACTTCCGAATCCTTGAAAAAAGCCAATAAACTGGCAAAAATGTGTACACATGGTGCTCTCGTGCATGCAGTGCACGTCATTTTTTGTAAGATACTGACAGTTCCCGGTTATAAGTCGAATCCCGGTTGTAAGTCCACCCCCACCCTTTCTCCTTCTATTTTTGGTCGTGAAAGGTCGACTTACAACCGGAAAAATACGGTAGCTATGCCTATACGATCCTATCTGTGGCATGCGACTGTACATCATTGTACCTGAACATGCATAATGAGCCAGCTGCAGATACTGTTGACCCTACTTCTTGGAGCAGCCGATCCATGTGTCCCACCCCTGCTCCTGCATTGTCTGCACCCGTAATCGCTGCAGAGGCATCCATTGTGGCTGACTGAATATTGCATGATTGTGTAATTGAATGTTGTTGATTGCTCTCACCTTGTCCCGGTTTTATTGTTGGTCTTTTTCAAGTCACAGTTGCTGCCTTCTTGGTTAATTTTGTCTGCAAAAGAGGCTACTGTCTGACCGTCTATAAAACGATTAAAAAACCTCTTGGAGCAACGGTAGATCTACTCCGACTCTCCGAGAACAAACTCAGTATACAATGTAGGTCTACATGTAGCTGTAGTGGGGTCTACGCTCAAACTAACTACTACCGTACTGGTAACTACTGCACTGTAGCACAGTCATACAGCGCGCAACAACGACGACGTCAGTCGTCACAAACGACATGCATGCATGCAGTACATAACAATAACAATTAACATGCATGCATGCAGTAGATCAGATCTACAAAATAGCACAATGCACTTGTACAGTGTATTTGCCAGCACTTACCCGCGAATGTACTTTGACCTCTATGCTCTAGCGCTCTGACTCTGACCAGGTCAGCAAGGCCTAGGCTAGTGGCACGAAACGAGCACGTTTTAGGGAATCCTCCCCAGGAATAAACTGTACCCAACTATGCACTCAAACAAGAGTCAAAGTGACAAGGCTCTCTTCTGATTTGGCCACCCTGACTGGCCTGAGCTGAGTGCAGTGGCTGCAAAGTCTTGGCACCTTTGCCAGACTTTTGACATGCACAATGCGGCCTGGCTGCCGCTCACTAAACTAAACAAAAGCATGCACATACTGCCTTTGAAGTCAGCTATCACATACATATTCCATTTTTATCATGGACTACTAAACCTCGTTTGCTCGCCAGAACAAGAGTCAGAGTGTAAATACACGGATCAGTTTCCATCCTCCTCAGTCTGTTCAGATGCGGTGCCGAGTTGGACTGGAAAGAGATTTTTCAATTTTCGTCCAATCCATCCTCACTTCGGATTGGTCTGAGCTGAGTCCTGGGCTTAGCGCGTGTAGGAGCCTCTCGGCTGTACTGTGCTTTCGTAAACTGTCCCGCGCGAAAAACAGAAGGTGGGCAATCTGAATCAAAAGCGGGAAAGATCGCTCCCGTGTGTGTGTGTGACGGAAGCGTGTGAAGAGGTAGTCGCCTGCGCAGAAGTAAAATGACGGAGACTGACAAGGTAAGCGGACGGTGCATTCGGTGTTGGGCGAAACGGGGATTCTTTAGGTGGTCAGTATTTGCGGAGAAATATTTGCTGGATGCTTGGGTTTCAACCGCATTGTGCCACTCGCCACTCATGCGGTACTCTCGAAGCCAAGACTCGATTAGATGATGTTGTGAAACTTGTGTTTACCAAAATATCACTGAGCTGCTCAGTATCACGCCTTGGGAGCACGAGATCGGAAGGTAAGGCAGATACGCCCAAGAGCACCGGCGAAAGACGCGCGCCATCGAGAACAAGGAACTTGAGACTGTGATCCTGTCGACTCGGAGGGACTGCCAAAGTCAGCTGAAAGGACCTAGCGGAGAGGTCAAAGATGGCTCCTCTTCAGTTCGCAGCTTCCGAAGGCTTGGTTGGCGTTGATAGATTCGGGTAACATGATGCGAAATACTATCGGTATTCTGCTCAGTCGGCCGTGGGCTTTCATTGGTGGGATCTTGCTATCCTAACTCCTCTGCCAAAGTACGTTGTCGAGAGAAACAGTGTGGTTCCGTGGTTATTGCCAATAGACGTGCGCCATCAGCCACGTTGTGTTGAAAGGCGGGTAGCTGGTCATGTCGGTAAACTGGCAACATCACGATATGGCCTTTCAAGTGGAAGAGCGAATGAAGACCTAGCTGACTCGTTCACGAGCCAAGACGTAATGATGGAAGGGCAAAATACGCAACTACAGTCAGTGAAGGATGGGTCGAGGGACATTTTGGTACGACCGCTGTTCATTCGTTGTGGTGGTATTTGCCAAGTTTTCATTGAACTAACTTGTCTGATCGGTTTGCAGGCCTGCCTGCGAATCATGAGGTCCCGAGTTCGAGACCCGCGCTGGTAGCAGGGAGCGTGTAAAAAGACTTTTTACGCGTGTTGAACTGTGTCGACACCCACGCGTGCACGGTCAACTGGGTACTCACAGCTCGGAGTGAGGGTAACAAAAAATGCAGTTTACAGGGTTATGAGCCGTTACACGCCCGATTGGTTGAGAGACTCACCTCCTCTCCCCTGACTCACTTGTGAGGTCTGCATTCGCCACTAAGGTTAAAGGGGAAGTATACCCTAAAATCAAATTTTCACCAGTTGTAGTCTTCTGGGTGCTGAGTCGAATGGTCTTGGTCCGAGGAAGCTGCGACGCTCCCTTCCTACTTGAATCCCAATCGAACTCGCGCACTTCCACCGAAACTGGGTGACTGCGCCCTACTAGATGGGGATTTGTATGCAAAATGTCACTAAAAGCGCCATTTCGTTCTTATAAAAGCACGGATGACCGCGATTGGCCCATATGTTGTAGTCTTTTGGACGCTGAGTCCACTGGTTTTGGTCCGAAAAGGCTGCGATGCAGCGCTCCTCCTTTATTCCCAATCGAACATGGTTGAACAAGCGGTCACGTGCTCCTGCGTACACCAGTCAGCTGGTCACCGTGCCTGCAGGGTACAACTTACTAGCCTGTTTGACCTTTTTTGGGTGCAGTCCTGTCACTCGAGTTGAACTCGAGTTGAACCTTGGTGTGAAAGTTGTCGCCTGCTGGCGCGGTGACCAGGTGATTTGGGCACCCAGGAGCACGTGACCGCTTGTTCAACCATGTTCGATTGGGAATAAAGGAGGAACGCTGCATCGCAGCCTTTTCGGACCAAAACCAGTCGACTCAGCGTCCAAAAGACTACAACATATGGGCCAATCGCGGTCATCCGTGCTTTTATAAGAACGAAATGGCGCTTTTAGTGACATTTTGCATACAAATCCCCATCTAGTAGGGCGCAGTCACCCAGTTTCGGTGGAAGTGCGCGAGTTCGATTGGGATTCAAGTAGGAAGGGAGCGTCGCAGCTTCCTCGGACCAAGACCATTCGACTCAGCACCCAGAAGACTACAACTGGTGAAAATTTGATTTTAGGGTATACTTCCCCTTTAAAAGGCATGGTGGTGGCCTGCGGAAGCGAAGGCTATAGCTTGTGTGTTTCTGAACATTCAAGTGATGCTAACGCGGATCCCGCGAATATTATTATATTACTATATTGTCAGATCGGTGTCCAGTGAGGTTGTGCACAGCACTTGTAGTGTCACGAGTGCAGATGTGGATGAACTTGAGGTGACTGGTGGTTTTGACAAGTCCTTTAAGGATGCTTCCCCCCCCTCTCTATCCCCCTCCCCCACACTTTTCCTCCTGTCCTCCAGAATCTCCACTTGTGTGGTAAGTGGAGCCTCTCATCAATTTTATGGATGCAGACCGCAGGCTGTTGAACCTTGCCACCATTCCACAAAGGGGGGGGGGGGGGCATACCCAGTCCGAAGACAACTGTCTCCATTGCAGAATGTATGCAAATGGTTAGCCTGCAGACACTGCAACACCTTGGCTACCAGATACAGTACTGCATTACACAAGTATGCTGCCAGGATGAAACAAAGCCAGGTCCCTTGAATGTGGAGGTGCCCTGGGCTAAGACAAGTGGTTACAAAAGGAGGTTCTGTAGTCACGTACCAAAGTGCATGCAAATACACTCTTTAAAAAATATGTACCAGCAGCATGTGCATGTACTACTACTACTACTAGTACATGAGTGACCGTGCTGCTGTAGTGCTGCTGTAGCGCTGCTGTAGCGCTGCTGTAGCGCTGCTGTAGCGCTGCTGTAGCGCTGCTGTAGCGCTGCTGTAGCGCTGCTGTAGCGCAGCTGCACTTGAGCTGCATTGTAGTGTCTACACTGGGCCATTGACCCTCTACAGCTGGTTTCACTACACACTACTACTGTGGTGGACTGATTGAAATCCGATGGAATGACTGGGGACGGCGCAGTCAGTACTGCTTTCAGCGTGTACACCCACTGCAGATCACGTACACACTGTAAAAATGAGCCAGCAGTGCTCGTGACTGCAAGGCCAGCAATGACCGTGGCTGCTTGACTTCACAACGGATGTCAATATCCACAACAGTAGTTTGGACAGGGTTTGTGTTATTTCATGTTACTGAGCCATGGAATCGTGGTAATGCTGAACTTGTATTTTGAAAATCCAGCAGATGCCACTGTTTGATGGCTTACCAATGTATATACATGTGTGCACGTGTCAATCGGTTTATTTGTCTGCTTGTCCGCTGTCTGTCTGTCTGTCTGTCTGTCTGTCTGTCTGTCTGTCTGTCTGTCTGTCTGTCTGTCTGTCTATCTGTCTATCTGTCTGTATGTGTGCATATGTATGTGTATGTGTTACACACATGCCCTGTTGGCCCTTGCCTTGGTGTTTCACTCTGCTTACCTCACACCGGGTTTACTTAGCAGGTTCTGCACGTGTGTCCCTCACTGCTGCGTTGAGCACTTCTCAACATGTCGAACTCAGCCTCGGACTTGGAGTTGGATGATTCATTTCCGCTTCTCGACGAGGCATTTGATCTGATAGAGCGTAACAAGGCAAGGTAAGGGAGCACATACAACGGCGGCCATGCCATTATGTTCATGGCACGGTTCTAGCCAGAGAAATCCGACCTCATGACTAAAGTAGCCCCTCACTCAAGTGCGCAGAGTAGTGTGTGTGTGGTGCTGGGGTCGCGCAGCCCCTGGTGCAACTATATTCACAGGGGCGTCGGACACGATACGGTCACTACGGTATTGACCATACCACTTTTTGCCCCAGGTCAGGTGCCCTGTGGATCAATAAAATACACAGATCTGGTCTCTAAATTTACAACATTTTCGGCTCAGCAACCCTCTCTTACGATTGAACTTCAGATGGCTGACCCTACCACCCTAAATTACCTTCCGACGCCCCTGATTCATGAGGTAGGATTTCTGTGGCCAGGACTGCACTATTGGACACCTGCCTTTCAAGCAGCGACTGCAATAGGAGACCACCTGCATAAAGAAAGCCAGTAATTTCAGCCCCCGCCCCCCCCCCCCCCCCCTGCCCATAGTACGCCTTACCACACACTACGGCTTGTTACACTGACCACCTGTCTGCAAAGACTACTGTGTACAAAGACTACTATGTACAAAGGCCACTTGTCTACAAAGACCACCTGCCTACAAAGGCCACCTGCCTACAAAGGCCACCTGCCTACAAAGGCCACCTGCAGCAGATTTCTAACTGACGGTTCCGCTGCAGGAGGCATATTGCATTGACAAGACCTTACCACAGACCAGTTAGCATGTCACCTCAATCGTTTGCAGGATTTTGTCTTCGATAATCAGACTCCTTATTTTTTCTACGTTAGTCTGACTATCCAAGAGTCAGCTCACACAAGGATTGAAGTACATATTACTTTCTTGTGTATGCGTGTGTGTGCGTGGTTGTATATGTACACGTGCATGCATTCGTGCGTGTGTGCATGCGTGTGTGCATGAATTCAGCAATGACGAAGACATGGACTTGGCTCTGGAGGCGTTGGAGAGCGGTATGGGCACTTCAATATTTGGATCGCTAGACCAGGAGGAGACTAATATGGACGGGTTTGGTCAAGTTCTAGATCCTAGTGCTGCCAGCGGCGGTGTTGGCAGAGCAAGACCCGCACCCATCTCTGCTACTCAGCATGAAGAAAGTAACACCGTTGATGATAAGTGCACGCCTTGTCCTGGCATGACAGCCACTGACGATGTGAGCAGACTTCAGCATCAACCATTTACACTACAACAACAACAACAACAACAACAACAACAACAACAACAACAACAGCAGCAGCAGCAGCAGCAGCAGCAGCAGCAGCAACAACAACAACAACAACAACAACAACAGGCTCGGCAGCTGCAGCAGTGGCAGCAGCTGTGGCAGGAACTGTGCCGGCAAGAGCAGCTGCATGCCACAAGACCAGCGCACCCTAGTCAACAATTTCCAGTGCAGGCCGGAGCAGCTTGCAGACCTTCAGGCCAGGCCTTGTTTGCAGCCGGAGAGATGAGTCTGTCCACCGGCGCTGCTGCACAGTCTGCATTCACTTACCGTCCTGTTGCTGCTCAGGCTGCTGCTGCTGCAGCGCCTGAGGTGTACAGCACGAATTCAGTTCAGAGTCTACAATTAGTACCTCAAGTGGCAGAGTTGGCAGCAACTGCAACAGGAGTGACAACATGGCCAGCACCTTTACCACTGCCACCACAACTGCCACATGCTGCAGGAATTTCAGATCTGTGGCGGGCAGGAGACAGAAATGCCGCCGAGCTGAAAGGTATGCCGTGAATAAGGCCCGTTTATCAGCATTTATCGGGATCCCAGGTAAAATAATATGGATATACCATGTGATTATTGACTACACCACTGCCATCGTTGTGCTCTGTGGCCAACCACCCACACAATTCCCCGGCACAACAAGAGGTTCCTTCAGAGCGCAACGGCGGTGGTGGTGCAGTCAATGTACGCAGCATTTCAACGGCCGGATGCTGCTGCTTACCTCCTTCTATATGGATATGTCATGGTTCACTCTTTTGTGGTATTGTATGCATAATTATGGTTACTGTACACTACTTCATGTATGTAAGCAATGCAGATGCTTTCTTCATTTTGTTGAGACTGTACGCATACGTGACCCAGAGATGTCGTACTAAGTGTATTGCAGTAAAACTCCCCTGATCTGGATGCCCCTTTATCTTGTCACGTCCGTCTACCGAGCACCTTTCTGACCTATATAGAGTCACACAAATTGGCGTGCTAGGTCCCAACCCGCCCGGAGCAGGGGAGTTTGACTGTATCAGTGTTGTTATCCACCCCAGTACAAGCAGAGTACACACTACGCAGTCAACGCATGCTGCAGTATGCGAACACATTCCGTAATGTTGGCCGAGCCCAAGTGAGGGCTTTAAAAATCAGCCAGTGTTTCTTAACATCTGGAATCATGCCGGCCGCCATGGATGAAGCCAAGTTTACCTCTCCTTACCTGGGCTGAGGCGGCTGTATTGTACAATTTGTACTATCCCTTATCTTACTATGTTCAGGTGCCCAGCAGCATAGGCAACAGGTCCCTGCCTGGAGAGACTATGAACCGGATCCTGGCAGACGACAGGTCCCTGCCCGCAGAGAGTATGAACCGGATCCTGGTGTCTCTGCTCAGTTTGGCGCTAGCGTGGTAAGTCACTATGTTTGAGCAATGCAATGCCAGGTTGAGGTGGCCAGGTTGCCCCTGGTTTCTCAGGGGGGGGGGCGCTCCAGGAGGGGGGGGGGGGGGGGTTCAAAGGAACCCCACCAGTTCATGCACCCATAGTCGGCCATGTGACTCTCTAGTGCGGTACGCGAGCTACACGTATTGCACACACAAGCGCATGGGTTTCTACTCGAACATGTTCACACAGCAAAACTATTTTTTGTAGCAAATTTTCACTTATCAGCCCATGGGCTTATATGTGGGGAAGTATGGTAGTCATCCTGTTTCCTCACCATACCAAAGACATGTGTGTTGCTCCGACCTAGCCCCTGTGCGGGAGCTCCTGCATTTCCTGGCACCTTGACTAGACACGTGACTGACACTATTTTGTATGAACATACACGACCCTACTGAAAGATCCCGCAGTGTCGAGGTTATGCCTTTACATCATTAGTTGAGCAATGGCAAAGTTGAAGCCCAGCAATGCACCAGCAACTCACACTGTACACACAGAGCTGCCAAGTTCATTTTTTCTTTGGTTGGGATACCTCCCTCAAAGGGGGGGGGGGGGGAGGGGGTAGCCAGGTGGGAAGTCGGGAGGTCGGTAGGCCTTCAAACGAGTGTTTTTTCCATCTCGACTCCCTCCATAAACAAGAAGTCCGTGATGAATTTTTGAGGGACTGGTTTGCGCACCAACTTGCGTGAAATTAGTCACGATTACTTTCTCGGCCTTCCCTTGCATGCCATGAAAGAGATACGATGCAAGGAAAGCAACCATTCACAAAAAAACCGAGTGGAATCGATGGATATGCTGTGGCAACATAGGTGATGACAGCCATGACGAGCGGAACTGAAATGCTACTTCTCCGAGAAAATAGTGCGCTGCTTGGCCTCTCTAGCCCTCAGTTTACTTGAACAACGGCGGCATCGCCAAACTTCAGCAGAGTGTAATCAAAGAAGCGGAGAAAGGCTGAAAGACTTGGCTGAAAAAACGACTTGAGAGAGATGACAACTCGAGTGCGGAATTCTCTTTTTCCCTGTACCGAGGTACCGGGTGTGTTTGTGCATGCCTGACAAAGTTGAGGCCGAAAAACGGCTGCAAGTCTTTTGATATTTGAAGGTTTTGATATTGGGCGGGAGACCGGGAGATCTCAAAAATAAACAAAAAACGGGAGATCTCCCGGCTGATCGGGAGATTTGGCACCTCTATGTACAACTCTACATAGCATCCCGGCATGAGAAGTTCCGCTGGCTCACCGCCACGATATCATTCGCATAACCTCTATTATGTCATCACTACGATGTTTCATGGGGCATCAGACACGCTACGGTCACTACGGTATTGAGTCTACTACTATTGACCGTACCACTCTTTGTCCCAGTTACCTCGTGAATCAATACATGTACTGATTTGAGCTCCAAATCTTAAAATTTCATCAGAGTGACCCCCTTCCATCAAGTAAATTGTGCCTCAGATGGCTGACGATACCACTCTAAATTACCTTCCGATGCCCCTGCATTAGAGCACATTGAGGTCAGGGTGGGAGAAATGTGACCCCCTCTTGGAAAAGTGTGGATCCTCCCCTGCTTCTCTTTTCCAAGCTCTATCCTTCTTCTTGTTGGCCGTGTGCATGAATGATGGATATGTCCTTTCTTTTCTCTATTGCCTCAGCGTCCAAGCGGGAGCAGCTCTGAAGCATCAGCTGCCTCATATATGTCAGGCCTCGCAGGCCTCGCAGGTGATG